GGCCCGCCGCTCACCTCACTCCCGCGGTCCCATCCGGGCGGCAGGCGGGGCGGGTTGAACTCCTCATAGGAAGCCGCCGATCGGCACCCCGGACCACTCTTCCAGGAGCTGGAAGGGTAAGGCGATCCAAGTCCCTGGAAGCCGGAGTGACCAGCTGCAGAAGCTCTGGGCTGCGAAACACCGACTTCCGTTCCCGGCCGATGCTCACCAATCAGAGCACGGCTCTTGCGTCATTTCCGCCTATCGAGGCCTAGGAAACGCCGGACGCAAGAGAGTGGGGGGAAGGACCGGAAGGGGCGGGTCCCAAGCAGTCCGGCGCCTCGTGGAGGCTGAGGTGAGGACGCAGGTTGCTGAGGTGAGGACTCGGGGTGCTCAGCTCCTCAACTTTGTTTCCTGGCTGAAGCCTTCGTGGTTGCCAGCAGCAGACGAGGCGAGGGGGAGTTGGGGTCGGTCGCTGACCCTCTCCAGACTGAAGGCTCGGCTTAGGTAGGGGCGTCCCGCCCTTCAGTGGAAGCAGCGTGGAAGCAACGTGTTTGGGGCGCGGGGGGACTGTGGCTCAGGACGCAGGGGCGGTGGGGGCGCCGAGGCAGGTGAGGCCGTGAGCCCAGTGATGATGCCTCGTGTGGAGGACGGTAAAGCCGGAGGCTGCGGAAGAGGCCGTGAGAAGTGGACTGGCCCCGACGGGAGCGGGCCTCGGAGGAAATGGCCGATTAAAACAGGCAGAGGGAGCATGCTTGATGTCGGTGACAGGGACGACGTGAAGGCCAGGTGGCAGGACGCGGAGGGAAACCGAACTGCCCGACCTGAGAGGTTCTGTGAGGCATGAGGAGGGGCCGAGAGGAGGAGTTCTGGGAACTGCACACCGTTTAGTCCTTTCAAGGGCTTTGGGGTCAGGGCAGCGCACGTGAAAAGATGAGGCTGGTAGCGTTACGACTTTTAAGTGAAGAGACTTTTAAACATGCCGGCGGAGGTGCTAGATGGGAAACTGGTGCCGGAACTCAGTGATAAAAAGCCGGAAGCGGAAGTGGTGGGGGGAGAGGAACGGGTCCTCGGGGAGACCGGTGGGAGTTTCCGACCCGCGAGGAGCGTCGTGGGCCGCGAGGAATGCTGGCGTGAGCCTGGGCCGGGTCTGGCTTTGGGCTGTTTCCCATCGCCGCTGGTTTCCTGGTCTGTAAAATTGGAATAACAGCAGTACCTACCGTGGAAGGTTATGGTGAAGAATACTTTTTTTATATCGATATTTACAAAATGCGAGGTGCTCTAAGTGCTTTACATAGATAAGCCCACTTAAGGGACTCCATGGCTGGAGGTGACTACACAGTTGTATACGGTCTTCGGTTATGTATGTATATTCGTCAACACACACATTATATCGATATTTACAAAATGCGAGGTGCTCTAAGTGTTTTACATAGATGAGCCCAGTTAAGGGACTCCATGGCTGGAGGTGACTACCCAGTTGTATACGTGTCTTCGGTTATGTACGTATATTCGTCAACACACACCGGCAGTCCCGACTCGGGATTTTTCTACTTCTCGGTAGTGGGAAAGGGGGTGTGCATGCCATGCAAACTGTACTGTGAATTTTGATCTTTTCCCGGACCAGCTCTGTGCCGTAGGATTCGATGCTCTTCGTGAGCTGGGCAGTGAGCCCCGCTCCCAGGCCGCCGCGAGTGAACAGCCGATACTCTACACATGTGGTCATGTTAGAGGGCAGTGCCCACCTGGAGGCTGAGCTGTGCTGCTCTGCAGGTTGGGTGTATGAAAGGCGGTTCGATGTGCAGGAATACAAGGGGCTTATTGGGAAGCCCCCCGTCCATCCTAAGTCCTGAAGCTGCTATAGTGAGCACGTGTTGGCTGCTATAATATTTTTTATTAATGAGCCAAAGGTTACTACAGTGGGGCCTTGACTTACGAGTGTCCCGACTAACGAGTTTTTCGAGATACCAGTCTCTTGGCCGATTTTTTGCTTTGAGTTGACAGAGTAATTTGAGTTAACGAGCTCCTTGACGAGCTCTGTCACGGAACAAATTAAACTCATAAGTCAAGGCCCTCTGTGGGAAGAATCGGGAGATGGCCAAGGACTACCACGAGAAACAACTACAGTTAAGGAATCGATGAATTGGGGAAGTGTTGATAAATGGCGTAGGTTAAGGGCATTATCACCACGTGAATGTTATCTTTCCTTGATTTTTAACTGGTTTTACGGCGGTTACTATGCTAAGAAAAATGGGTCCAGTGCGTGGTTCCTGTGTTTTTTAAGTTGCGTGGGTGTTTGGGGGCTTACTTTTCACTTTACCATGTCAAGCGCACGTGGGCTTGGCTTGTTCCTTCCTTCACGTGTTGTCTCTTTTATCCATAACCAGTGTTTTCAGTGAATTTGACTTAGTGTGGGAACTATGGCATCTTTCAAAAACTGCCAAGTTGCTGTGCCATTTTCTGTGTCAAGGGGAGGGGGCTACCCTGACTGTACTAGAACAGTAGATCCCAAACCGAGGACCACAGCAGCAGCACTGGGGAACTTGTTAGAAATGGACAGTCTTGGGCCCCTCCCCAGACCTGCTGAGTCAGAAATGGGCCTTGGGGAGGGGAGGTGGCGCAGGTCCCTGCAATCTGTTCTCCTGAGCCCCAGGTGAGCTGGGTACTTAGAGCGATTGAGAATCACTGTGCTAGAAGGTGAGTGCTGCGAGGTCAGGAAGATTGTTGACCTGTATCTAGCATCTACCGCAGTACCTGCCTAATTAGTTAGTTTACAATAAATGTTCGTTGATAAATATTTTCAATCTCAGGCTCTCAGTCTCGGTGTAAAAACGTAAGAGGGTGATTAAATGGACAGAAGCTAATTTAGCGACATTGAGGCCATACATCAGATATCTGTGAGAGGGGCATGACAATGTGAGCAGTTTGCAACTTGATGAATGAGGGATGACATGTTGAATCATGGATGAGTAAAAAAGTAAGATGTCCAGATATTTTATGTCATGAATTATTGTATAAGTTAACCACATGATAAACAATTGGTGTTTGCTAGCCTAGTAGAACCAACGTACCCAAAGGACTGAGTTTTCTTTGTTTGCCTGTGCAGCTGCCTCACCCGTGGTTTCAGAGCTTCTAACATGGGGCTCACCAAGCAGTACCTTCGCTATGTTGCCAGTGCAGTCTTTGGCCTCATTGGCAGCCAGAAAGGCAATATTGTCTTTGTGACACTTCGTGGGGAAAAAGGCCGCTACGTGGCAGTACCAGCCTGTGAGCATGTTTTCATCTGGGACTTAAGAAAAGGAGAGAAGGTAAGCCGGAAATCACCTGGGTCCGTGTTGACATGTGGGTATTTGAGGATGGAGAGGCAGAAGCACGAGAGCTCCCATCTCCTGCCCAGATTTTGTATGTGTGTGTCCCTGGAAGGGAAATCTTTTTTCTTTGGTTCTAGATAGCCAGGTATCAGGTTCTAGTGTGTTCTATACTAACCTCTGCAAACCACCACCAAAGAGGAGCGTACCTCTTAGCAATCTATGTGTAGTGATACTTACAGGTAATTATTTGTAATCATTATTCCCTCCATGTGTGTGTTTCTCTGTTTTACCACTTATCTATCTGTCAGGTTCTTCTACTTGCCCTCACAGCCAGTTATAAAATTGAGGCATTTAAAAGGAATAGTTCTCTGCTGTGTTGACTGAATCTTTTTCTTACTTATTCAGATGACGCTCAGGTTGTTAAACTAGGCTTTGAGACTTTGTGTAACTAAACGCATAAGCCTACCACTTCTACCAAACTCACTGTGTGACTTCCAAGGAGGTAATACTTGGATACTTGTTGCTGCGCAGGGTCCCTTGGGGGTAAACCACGTTAGCACTCTGGTGCCACATAGGTTGGTTTCTTATAAGATGGGGCTGTGTTAAGCCAAGGATGTGCTCACAACCCTTTATGGAAAACCACTTCATGACATAGGATAAGAGCTTAGTAATTCATGCCATTGCCTAGGTAATGTCTGCATGTATTATGCTAATGTAGAGCTTTGGAAAAAATAATTTTGCCTTTTCTTGAATGTTTCATTGCCCAGTACTAATAATAATTCCTATATCAAAGAAGTTGAGATGGATTCCAGTGTCATTATTACTTGTAAGACTGATTTGGAGTTTCTGGTGCTCTTAATTTTATGGTGCTTGATTATTCCCACTCTTCCCTTGATGACATGCTTAACTCCTCTACTTTTATTTTTACTGTTATGATTTCAGATCCTTATCCTTCAGGGGCTTAAACAAGAAGTCACTTGCTTGTGCCCCTCCCCAGATGGGCTGCACTTAGCTGTTGGTTATGAGGATGGGTCTATTCGAATCTTCAGTCTCCTGAGTGGGGAAGGAAATGTAACCTTCAATGGACACAAAGCAGCCATCACTTCCTTGAAGTATGATCAGCTGGGAGGCAGGCTGGCATCTGGGTCCAAGGTGAGACTTTGAATCAGTGCCCAGACTTTGATCTAGTAAAGGACTAATCCTATGCCAAGCAGGATGTACACAAAAATTGTTGAACAATGGGCACATTGGCTACACAACAGTGTAGATGGTAGAAACAGCAAGAAGGATGGGTCTGAACGGGGAGGTTCATTTTGTTTTCTGTCATAGTCTCTGATTAGAGCCAATTAGCTATAGGAACAAGATGAGTGTGCCCCTGGTAACTGCTATATAACATCATTGTGGAAGTGCTGCCCAAATAGTACACAAGGGCAGAGACAAAATGATCATTCTTTGCCATTGAGTTTAGTAAAATTGGTAGCTTTCCTATGTCTCAAAGTTAGAAAATGTAATGTAAAAGATTCCATTTACGATGGTTTATTAAGTAACAGACAGAAAAATACTATGAAACTTGACTAAAGAAAGTAACAGAAGATTTGAATAGACACACAAACCATGTACTTGAATATAAAGACAAAGTATTGAAAAGATGTTAGTGTTTTCTAACTAGAATAGTAAAAGCAATTTAAATAAATATCCCAATGGGTTTTGTTGTTGTTAGAACGTGATCAAATAATTTAAAAGCATCTATGGAAAAACAAATGAATCATAAACTCTAGGATTTTGGGAAAGAAGACTAATAAAAGAGGGTTTCAGTTTTGTGTGTTTTTTTTTTTCAGGATTAGATTTTTTTAAGGAGGTTTTAGATATTAAAATGCTCTATGAAGTCATGATTGAAAGCATACTAATCTCATATCAATACAAAATAGGTAATTATTACAACTTAATGAGAGTTCCAGAAACAAATCTTTCTTATTCCTAATGAGTATATTTTGGAGATATTTCTGATGAGTAGAAAATGGTACTTAGACAATTGGCTAACTGTGGGGGGGGGGGGTAAGTTAAAGCTTTACCTCATGCCATAATATTAAAGAGTGATTGATATTTCAAGAAAACTGCAAGATAATGTAAGTAAATATGTACCTGGTGCCAAGTAGAAAAAGATTTCAAACATATCAGCAAAGAAACTATAAAAGAAAAAAGATCAATAGATTTGAATACTTAAATTTAAAACATTTGTACTTTTAATACTATATAGGAAAGCTGTTTACAAGTAAACCTTAAGAATTCTCATCACAGGGAGAAAATATTTTTCCTTTTCTTTTTTGGATATATATATGAGAAGATAGATGTTAGCTCAACCTATTGTGGTAATCATTTCACAATATGTGTACATCAAATCATTTTGCTGTACATCTGAAACTTACACAGTGATATATAGCAATTTGTTCTCAATAAAATGGGGGGAAAGCATGTAATATTTTCTATATTGGAAGAAAGCTTTAATATCATTTGTCTCTTAATAACTTAAAATAAAGTGAAAATAAGACCCAAAAAGGTAGACAAAAGACAGGACTCGGTGGTTCGAGAGAGGTACAGATGGTTAGTAATCACCATAGACCGTGTACAGAACTTCTCGTTGGTATTCAGAAAATACAAGGCAAATAAATATTGAGACAGCATTTTTTAAAATATATTTTTATGATTTCAGAGAGGAAGGGAGAGGGAGAGAGATAGAAACATCAATGATGAGAGAGAATCATTGATCGGCTGCCTCCTGCACATCCTCCAGTGGGGATCGAACCCGCAACCCGGGCATGTGCCCTTGACCAGGATTGAACCCAGTACCCTTCAGTCCGCAAGCCAACACTCTATCCACTGAGCCAAACCAGCTAGGGCAAGGCAGCATTTATAGCGTGTGAAATAGGCAGTGGTTTTTGAGAAGCTGATAGTGCCCAGAGCTGAGCGGATGAGGAAATGGGTCTTGTCGTACTACCCCTGCTGGACACAGAGATTGGTGCACCCTTTTTGGAGAGTGCCTTGGTGATGTGAGTTGCAAACCTGAAAAATAGGGATACTTTTTAACCCAAGACTTTCTCTTCATAGTATTTATCCTGATCAGAGATATATACAAAGATATATAAGAATGTTCATTTCCACATATTTGTAATGGTAGAATATTGGACACTACCTAAATGGCTAAAATAGAAAAAGTTTTTTAAATAAATTATTGTATATCCTTAGGATTATTAAGAGACCATTAAAAAAATGAGAGCAGTCTGGAAAGACATGGAAAAATGGAAATGCATTAAGTGAAAAAAGGGGAGGGTTTTCTAATGAATAGCATGGTGTCAGTTTAATAGGAAATTATCAACCTGGATATATACATCAAGACTGGAAGAACATAAAACAAAGTATCTGTGGTGATTATAAGGAATATATAATAAAAATTTGTAATAAAAATGTTACATCCTGTTGTTAGTCCTTTATATGATAAAGAAGGTTCTATATTTGATCCCTTTAGGACACAGATATTATTGTGTGGGACGTGATCAATGAAAGCGGCCTCTACCGTCTAAAGGGGCACAAGGACGCCATCACACAAGCATTGTTCCTACGAGAAAAGAACCTGCTAGTCAGTAGGTAAAGAAACAAGTTTCGCTTCCAGTTCTCTAGGTGAAGGGTTTTAAAGAGGGAATTTGCCCCATTCCTTACTCATTTCTCCACGCTACACTCAAGCTCATGTTCTAGTTTCCTCTGTTCTCTGCTTTTCTCTCTGCTCCCCTCCCCTCCCAAACAGTATCATAGAAGCTATCTGGAGTTATTCATAGTATTTTTAAATTCTATTTTCTGATACCTACTTTTCCATGTTCCTTAACCTCTTGATGTGCCTTCTATAGAATGAGCTGTCCACTTTCTGGATCCCCAGAAAGTAGGAAATCACAATATGGAGCAGTGGGCAGAGGTGAACACTAAGTATTTGGTTTAGCCCAGTGGTCGCCAATCTTTCGGACCAGCAGTTGGCGACCGCTGCTCCAAAGGTTTCCTTAAACCAGTGGTCTCCAGTCTTTCGGACCTCATGGACCACCACTGATCCACGGACCACGGGTTGGCGACCGTTTGTTTAGCCTGTCGAGAAGAGACGTGCTCTGTATTTAGGCCTTCTGACATCTACTAGGTTGAACCATTTGAAATGTCCGTTTGTGTAGGTCAAAAATGATCGGTCAGATATCAGCAATTGCAAAGGGTTAACCTAATGTAACAGTTATCATTCCTGAAGAATGGCTACCCAGGAAAGTTTGGGGTCCTGAGGTTTGTCAGGCAGTAGCCAAAAGAGCCATAGGAATGACTTGGGAACTTGTGAAGGAGCATGCGTGCTATGCCAGTGGTGGGCTGTTCCTGTGGGGAGAATGGAACACCAGTGTGTCCTGTTCAGATAATAGATTCCATGAGAGCAGGAATGACTGCAGATCTACTGGAATATGCACATTATAGTTTAGGGAAAATAACGGAGGTGGAATTTTGTAGGAAAAACTTTATAAATGGGATTTTTGTTTTGTTTTTCCCCACTTTGGTCATGAAAGGGAATTTAATTAGATTTCTATTAGTGAGGGAGCAGGGCAGAGTAGAGCCCATTGGCAGGAAGTTTTAGAGCCAGATGATGGGAGGTTTTGAGAAGGGTGCTGATGAAGAGCCTGATTTTGAGTCTGGTGTGAACTTAGGAAATTGAGATTATCGGACAGAAGTGTATTGGATGTGACAAGGGAACAGGAATGGGCAGAGCAACCAGACCAACAGCTGTTAAAATAATTCAGGCAGTAGGCCTTAAATACAGAAATGGATTGGAAGGAATCAAGGCTTATCGACTTCACTGAGGTGGCATTTTCTTTGACAGAAAAATGACATGGGAGCCTAGGGAGCAGGGAGATCTAAGAAGTTTCTGTTAGTGTGCGAAAATGTTCGTGCTGTGATGATAAACATGATGGGCTTACAGATGAAACCTATTACTGATTTTAGAGAGAGAAGCATCAATCGGTTGCCTCCCCCACATGCCCTGACCGGGAATCGAACCCGACACCTTTCAGTGCATGAGACGATGCACCAACCAATTGAGCCATACCATACCTAAAAATATTCACATGGAGAGCTCAGGTTCTTTACTTTCTAAAAGAAAGTTGGGGAGAGTAGCAGCGGTAGACATTGCTGTACCTTATCTGTTTAAGGCTACAAATGAGACCTTGGTCTCCCTGTTAGTTTCAAGGTTCTTTCTAATACTTTTTCCTGTTTCTCCTTTTAGTGGGAAAGATACCGTGGTGAAATGGTGGGACCTTGATACCCAGCACTGCTTCAAAACGATGGTTGGCCACCGAACTGAGGTACATGTGGGCTCCCAGGCCCAGGGGAAGAATTCGGGGCAACAGGAAAGGCTGGTTTTCTCCCCCGGTCCTTTCATGGCTCTTGGCTTTCAGCAGCAGTAATTGTCCAGTGCTACCAGAGAGACAGTGTCAGTGTGGTTGGGGAGGTGCCAGCCATCAGCAGATACTGGCATTTACTTAAAATTGGCTTTGGATACATTTTAACCCATGAATATGAGTTTCATCTTTTTTTTTTTTTTAATCTTCGCCAAAGGATATGTTTTTATTGCTTTTAATCTTCGCCCAAGGATATGTTTTTATTGCTTTTTAGAGAGAGAGAGAGAGATCTGAGTTGCTCCCGTACATGCCCTGCCTGGGGAACGAACCCGCAACCTAGATATGTGCCCTAATGGGGAATCAAACCTGCAACCCTTTGGTGCAGCCAACTGAGTCACCTGGCCAGGGCTAAATTCGTCACTTTTAAATAGTAAGTGTCCACCTTTCTGATTGTAGGGAGGCTAATGACACTGTGTGTACAGTACCTGGCCCGGTGACATATGAATAGCAAATTGTAGTCATTATAAAAGTTACCTGAACTTAGATCTCTTCTGTAGAGATCAGGAAATACTTCACATTTTTGCATCCTACTCTGTTCAAACCAGGCTTTCAAAAGCATATACCTGGAGTAAATGAGGAGGAAAAGCGAGTTAGATCTCTGGTTATTGATTTGCAATAGTACTGCTATTTTTATTGTTTAGTTCTTGGGTATTTGAGGCTGAATATTATGCAGCAGATATGAATGGAGCTCCTTTTATTTGTGAGGCAAGGAAGTATCAGACTTAAAAATCTTCATTTGAGTGGACTCTTGTTAGGATTTATGTTGAACACTGTTCTCTAATTTTAAAGATAGCAAATTGCAGAGAAAAGTCAAGTTATCAGACAACAGTTGTGCCATAGGCCATTTTTTCTTTCTAACAGTGGAATTTCTCACAATCCATGTTGACAGAATTACCTTAATATTGGACTTTGCAAATGCACTACAGTGTTCTGAACCTTTTGGAGTGTCACATCATACATCCTTGGGTCTTAAAAGTTGTATTATTGGAATCTCTTTATACTCTAGGTGTGGGGGTTGGTTCTGGTGTCAGAAGAAAAGCGACTCATCACAGGGGCTTCGGACAGTGAGCTGAGGGCCTGGGACATTGCCTATCTGCAAGAGGTAATTCCTTTTTCTGATTATGTGCCTGTCGTGTTTCACCGGCTTTAGGGGCTCATTGATTTTAAAAAATCGGTTGTAATTACTGAGTGCTTCACACAGCGTCACATAGTTCTAAAGGAATGCTATCACATTGATAACCTGCAACTTCTAAACAAGTTTTTCTTCATTCTGTGCTCCATTGCCCTCATGGGTTCAGGCTTGGAAGGATAGCTTTAGGCGTCTAGCTTCTGGTCATGCTAATGTTTTAATTTGTGGAATTCTTAGCCTAATATTCCTGGACCTTTGGTGTCCATGGATGGACTTGAGAATATCAACGACTCTTTCCCCCCAAACAAAAGTCTGTAAAGTTTGTGTGTTTCTAAATACGTATATTCTGAGATCTATAAGTTTTTCTCAGATCCTCAAAGATTTTGTGAGGAAAAGATTCTGGACCTTAGGTTTACTGGTAGCTGGAGTTCAGTGTGTGGTGTGTCCAGCAGCCAATTCGATAGGTTCTACATTAGTAGGCGAGGGCTTAGCTTTTCTTTATTTAAGGGGAAAGTATGACCTCTCTTGCAATTCTTAATGCCAGTTTGAATCTTTCCCTCTAGAACAGCGGTTCTCAACCTGTGGGT